ACAGTTGTGAGCCACCATGTGGGTGCTGGGAATTGAACCTGGGATATCTGGAAGAGAAGCCAGTGTTCCTAACTGTTGAGCCATCTCTCCGGTCCTCCAACTATTCTCTAAGCAAAACAAAAATACTGCTTCTAAATAAGATCAATTGAGGACCCCCACCTTCTCCTCCCTTTCTGCTTCCCTCCCAATACTCTTGAATCCTGCTTTCCTGCTCTTTGAAATCCACCAAATCCCACTCTCCTATTTTGAATCAGTCATTCTGGTTCTTATTCTCTATGAACCCAGTAAATAGATGGACCCAGCCCCGAATCCCTTCACAAAGCCTTGTATTCATAGTAGAAACAACAGCCCAAAACCATTCCTTATCCCTTATCACTCTGCCAAATACAAAATAGAAATTGCAAAATTACAAGAGCATTCCCTTGAAGTAAACAAACAATGGCCATTAATCATGTCCAAAGTCCTCAAGTGTTCTCTAAATAACAATTGTAAAAGGCTGCTATGGGATAAGAATGATCTGAAACTTCAGAGGGGCAATGGATGTAAGACATTGTAAATTTACCACTGACTGAACTTGCACTTTAAAGTGGCTGTGTTATGTGAATTTTGGCTTAAAAAAAAAAAAAACTACTTTGGAACAGTCTGGAAAATAAGTTACGTCTTTTATTTCACTTGTTTTAAAAATACCAAGGCTAAGTATCACCTAAGAAATGACAGGATGTTTTATATATTTATGCCTCATAATTTTTTCTTTCACCTATATAAAGGTGGAGATTTAAGAATGCTTGCTTAAATTCTTTAAAAGGGAATTTCCTTCCAAAAAGGCTCACTTCTGGAATGCTAAGACTTTTATGGGTACCCTGATCACTTGTGTTTCTGGGGTACAATTTGGCTGAAGTGACGATGCAAAAACAGCCAGCTGCACTCCAGGCCTGTGCTGGCTGTGTAGTCACCATCCTCACAGAGCTCAAGTTGTTATGTCAGACGGTCCCTGGACACTTGCTCAGATGCTGTCCCTGCCTCCCCTCCCTGTGTCTATGGCTGCTCTGCCATCTTCTTTGCCCATCCTCCACCCTTTATGCTCTCACAAGCCTCTAGGGGGAAGCAGCAGCAGCATTCCTGTGAATCAATACTGAAATAGTCCTCACTTGCCGGGAGTAGGTGCTTCTGTGAAAGCCAAGAGGGGCCTTGTGTGAGTAGAGCAAGATTCCTTGGCTGAGAGAGGCCCCAGGAGCTGTGCTCCCTCAAGTCATGCTCTGTTATGGTCTGAACATGGCTCCTCCCTACAGTTCATGCGTTAGGAAACCAATACTAGTGCGGCAGAAGAATCTCCGAAACAAAAGCAGAAGCACAGATAACCGTCCTGGTTATCTCTCCACTCCCCACAGGACGCCTTCTGCTGTGCTGTGCTGCCACCCATGAAGACATTCTCTGGTCCCTGGTCTTAGACTTCCCCGACCCCAGAACTGTGAACCAAGTTTCTGTTCATTATAAACTTTCTGGGCCATAGTAGTCTGTTAAAGCAGAAAGAGGATAAGACTCTCCACACTATTGACAAGTTATAACCACCAATGGTCTTCCACTATTTATGATGCTGCTCCTTCCTTTGCTGTTGGTGTCACAGTTTTCATGTACAACCTTGCTAATTCTGCTTCGGGTCTAAGTCAGGCACTGGAACAACCCATGCTCACAGTGCTCACAGTTCTCACAGGAGCTGCACATGGCAGGAGTCCCTTGCTGTGCTGCACTGAAACAGAGAAACACTGGAGTGAGTGCCAGAAACCACCCAGGGACCACCCAGTGAGAAAGTGTCCAAGCTAGGGTGTGCGTGCATCTTGCTTCTGAAGGGAGATGACTGACAGGACAGGTGCCATCCAACAATACCTGCACCTTAGTCACCTAATACCCCGTGCTCACTGAGAGACGATCCAAAGGTCAAATGGGAGCTCCTAACAGAGGAATAGCCCAATGTCAGAGCCAGCGAGAACCTTACAGTAATAGAAAGCCTTGCAGATACCTGGATGGATAGCGCAAAACAAAACAAAACAAAATAAAAACAAAACAAAACAAAACAAAAAACACACGAGCCTAATAACTCTGAACACTGTTCTTTGCAGCAGAACATGGTGGGGTGTCATAATGTCTACCTTATGGTATAAGAGAGATATCTAAGGTAAGTGGCAGCACCCAAATCCCATGTGAAAACTCTCCTCCCCTGGCAGACCTGCGGCAACCCAGGTCTTAACTCTGGCTCTTAGGTACCATCAGGTGTCGGCAGGCTCCTATGCTAGCCACTGACCCCCTCTTTCACTTTAGTTGTTCAGGCTTTTATAAATGAGGTTTCTTCTTCTTCTTTCTTTTTTTATTATTATGTGTATGTGGGTATGCCTGAGTGCATGTATGTGTACCACATGTGTGTTCATGGGGGTCAGAAGAGGCCATCATATTCCCTGTAGTCACAGGTGGTTGTGTGCTACCTTTGTGGCAACACAACACAGTCCTCTTCCAGAGCAATTAGTGCTCTTAAGCCATTAACCACCTCTCTAACTCCTTAAAATAGGTCATGTTTATTTAACCACCAGCAGATCCCAAGTATGCTGGAGGGTGGCTGGTTTTGGGGCTGGCTGTGTGCAGCATGCTTCCTGGTTGGCTCCAGGAACATCTGACTCAAGAACCTTATGGTTAAACTAACCATGAGAGGACCCAGAGAGACACGGGGGAAGTGTGAGCCCTGGGCATAGAAAACGGCTACCTTCAGAGTCAACTGAGGTTTCAGACTAGTACAAAGACTGTCCCTGCCACCTTTGAGGTTTCTTTTCCACAAAGCCTGACCCTCCCCCTTGGCCTTCCATAACCATTCTCGTTTCTAACAGTAATTCTGCTCAGTGAACTGCCGTCTGGTCAACCACATTAGGTATTTGATCAAGCTTCTCATATCCCAGCTTTAATATCCAAGCTCCAGGTCTTGTCTTCCTTTAGCAGGAATCCAGTTAGACTACTTCAGCAAGAAGCCCCGCACCTGAGTGTCCTTCAGGAATTTTCCATCCACCCTGACTCTCCCACTCCACTCTGCTCTGTAGTGATAAAATGCAGCTGACACTGCTGCATGGGGGCTGAGCTCAGCATTTTTTCTGTAATAGTGTCTAATGCAAACTACTCTTCCCATTGCCCCAGACTAGTGCACAGTGGTGTCCATTTGACCTCTTCCCAGGGACAGGATTTAAATACAACTAAATAAGAACTTTGCATTTCCAAGAAATGCTGATAACAGCCATGCATAGAGTCGCTCACTTGCCTTCCTAGAGTAGAAAAGATGTGGCATCAAGAATAAAATTCACAGAGAAAGGTAACTTTAAAAATGTACATGGGGTCAGATGGGTGGAGGTGGCACATGCCTAAAATCCCAGCATTCTGGAGGCAGAGGCAGATGGATCTCTGTGAGTTCAAGGCCACCCTGTTCTACAGAGTGAGTTCCAGGATAGCCAGGGAAATTAAACAGAGAAACTCTGTCTCAAAAAACAAAACAAAATTTCAAGGGGTCTGTTGATGGTGTCAAGGGGCTGGCCCAACAGGGTATGGACAGCTTGCCTGAGTTACTACAGTCTGACCCCAGAGGCCACAGTCTCAAGTGGTTGGTCCCCATGGCACTGACTGAGCACATGGTGTCTGTAGTGGCCTTCACTAATCTCCAAGCCTCTCCACTGAAGGAAGAGATCATCCACTGCTCTACCACAGCAAATAGTGATAGAGAAAACTTGTATCCAGATCATGGGCTTTGTGTTTCACATAAATTCCATGGATGAACCCGGAAGAGAGCTGACATCTGCTATAATGAACAGGACAACAGGACATTTTGCTTGTTTATGATGAGAAGTTATCTAGGAACAAATTCTTCAGACCTGGGGCTTATGCTATACAAGTCAATTTTTAAAATGAGTATACCATGTCCTGCTGGCTAAAGAAAAGCTTGAAGAGCAAGATGCTTGGGTGTTGTCTCAAAGAGTAGCAGCCTTGGGAGATCCTCTGAGGGACAGGTAAGTAAACACTCAGAAAACAAAATTGAAGCCAAGGTCCTAGGAGAGACACTTTGGGCCACTCCAACTTCAAATTCCTCCAGGCAATGCAGACAGAGTAACCTTTGGGCCAAAGTACTTCTTCAACTTCCTGCTGCTAACCAAGTCATTAGTCAGGCACTAAGGAAGTGAGGTTAGGATGTTTCTTGGGACCTCTGAGGGACTGAGATGCCTGTGGAAGATACCCAGACAAGCCAAGGGTTAGGATTCAAGGACACTGAGATTACCCACATGGTCCAGGAATAGCAAAGAGCAAACTAAATGACCAAAAGAATGTATGTGGGAGCTTCTCTCTACCTGTGCATGCTCAGCCCATCCTGGGATCCCAAGAAACGTGACCAATGTCTACCTGGAAGAAACACTGAGAAATTCACTGGACTGTTAGCACTCCCTCCCTGCAGTGCAAAAACTGAAGGTCTCTAGGTTTCACTGTAGAGAACAAGAGAAAGTCCCAAGTATTTAGGGACAGGAAGACTGAGCTAGCAGCTGGGTCACACAAAACAGCATGAAAAGATGACCGAGTAGTGGGGTGCATGCAGATAACCCTGGTCTTTGCTGGAACCCATTTTCTTAGTGAAGTGGACAGAACTTCCCCCTCAAAGCCCTTGTTCAATGGGGATTTACCAGGATGCTAAGCACTGATGCTGAACTGACCACAGGCCATACTGAATTGAGCATAAATTGACACATGGGCTACTATCACACTTAAACATTCCTACAAACTCTGGGAAGTCAACCAATGTTTTATTGCTACTTAACCCCCAACCTGTGGATTTACAGCCACATCTCAAACCCTAGCAAGACATGTCCCTGCCTAAGGTTTTTGAGATGTGGCCCAAATGGAAATATTTCTGCATCAGAGCATGCCTCGGTAGAAATAGCAACCATGCAAATGGTATCATGGCTGCCACAGCCAAGGGTTCTTACCACGTCCTCCTTTGCGCAAACTGGCTGGGCTGCTCAGCTGGGGCTCAGGTGGGCTAAACGGAGGGTAGCGTGGGGATGTTTTCACTGGAAAAGAAAGTAGAGCAAAGGCTATTGTCATTCTCCACTGTTGGAGAATATTTGTTTACACTGTAAAGATGTGTCTCTGCCTAAGGCACCTTCTGATTGGTTTAAAAAAGAACTAAATGGCCAACAGCTAGGCAAGAGAGAATAGACAGGATTTACAGGCAGAGACAGAGAAACTGGAAGGAGGAATCCAGGAGCATGATTTTGATAGCAGATTCAGAGCAAGTTGGATGTACTGGACTAAGGAGAGGTAACCGAGCCACATGGCAGAATTAATTATAAGTCTGACTCAGGTCCCTATTTGCCATCTGGTGGTCCAAAGATAGTCCAACAAGAGAGCTTGCTACACCCCACCTTGTGGTACCAAGTTGCACCCAGCTGGTTTTTCTTCTTTCTTACCATATGGAGTTTCTGGAGACACAGGGAACGCTGGGGTCAGACACATAGACTCCTTGTTGTTTGAAATCCTGCCATCAATCATATCAAGGTCAGGGGGATATGCAGCGATCATCGTCTGAAGTCAGCATAGAAAAATAGAAAAATGAGAAATCACAGAAAGGCCCTTCCCACATAGACACAGTCCCTCAAGATGGTCTGCTGACAGAGCCCACATCTCAGAGTGAGTAAAGAAGGAAGAAATTGGCCTCTTGCCATTCACCATTTTCCGAGGCAGAACATAGACAGAAGGGGCTTATGGGCCATTATCTGAATACAGTGCTGGAGAACTGGGGCAAAGGTAATGGAGGCTTGGTGCAAGGGAATTAATCATCCCATCACTAAGCATGAAAGAACATCAAGGAAATCTTAACTACATCACTGTCACAGAGAAGTGAAAAAATACCACAAGTCAAACACACAATATGGAATGAACTTTAGAAGAAACATTCCAGATATCAACAACATATGTATAAGAATTACAGCAAAGGCTCCAATTTTTCAACTTGAGAATCAAATATATAATTTCTATTAACTATTTGGGAATGGTGGCCTATCTTACTCTAATTCTGACAAGAAGCCTTAACTACAATTCCCAAGCAGGAAACTTTTATCTGTAGACCTCCTTAAGAGTCATCATTTGCCATGGAGCCCTGTGTGCAGGCTAGAAGTCTGCATTTGCCACTGCTGTCCATCTGCAGGGTCTTGCTAGGGCCAAGGCCATGATCCCTAACCCCCATAACCCACCTGTATGTGTTGCATCTCATACCCATTCTACAGATCAGACATTGAGGTTTCAATGACCCATGCAAACACGCCCTCTGTAGCTATCTATGGGGAGTGTGTGGACCTTACACATGCCTTCAGACCTGTGCTCCCAATTGGAATCTGTCTGTTACTGAAGAACCATGTCCACGATATAAGGAGGATAGTCAAAGACAGAGAGGTTATAGGGCCTCGTGACTTATACAAGGATCTGGCATAGGCATTGTCCTAAGGTCCAAGGACAGGATAGTGGGGTTGAGCGGATGGGACAGGGCCAGCACATACCTCTTTGATGTCTGCAGCAGAGGAAAATGGTCCCAGACTTGGGGCTGGATCACCACTGGCCTTTGCCCATCCACACTTAGAGAAGGAAACCTGGCTCCCAGCATCATTGTCATACTGCCCAAGGCTCAACTTCCGGAGCCGTCCTGCAATGGACTCATCACCTGAGGAGCCAGTGAGGAGAAAAACAAATGGACTTCTGGGTATGATCCTCAGCACAGTGTAGAGACCATTGATTAAACCAATCTTAAACCATTCATGGATATTGTCATCACTAGTCAGCCACTCCAGACAGACACAGGGCTGCTATGGGTAGACCATAAACACAGGGGCATCCTAGGATGCCCATAGACAAACCAGAGTGCTCCATCCAGAAAAGGCCTTGGAGTTCAGGCAAGGCCAGGTGCTGGGACTCAGCCTACAGTGCTAGGACAGTAGACTGGCTAACCTCGACTTAAGAAAGCACCAGCAAAGATCCAGCCTCCAGGTCTGGTATGAGCAGCCAGAAGACTAGGTACCTGCAGTGACCCAGGCATGTGGTTCCACCATGACAAATGGAACCTTCACATGAGGGGAAAACCCCAAACCAGATAGTAAGAATGAACATTTAACACCCCAATGCCATTCTCTGCCAGAAACTCCATAGGCATTTATTCCTGACCCGGATGCCCACGATCCCTGCTCTTAGCTAAACCTGATATTCTTCTGGCTGGGGAGAAAAACATGTCTGGGCTAGAGTCTGTCTGCTTTTTAAAGTTTCTTTGAGGGAATTCTTAAAATTGGGCAATAGGGGGAAACCAGTAGAGTGCTATAAAAGCAATAATGTTCCAAGTCACAATGTAGTCTTTTCACTCTAAACAAGGCTTTGCTGACAATTTAGGCATAAGCTAAAAGCATAGAACCTCTAAGGATGATGTTGTATTGTTTGTGATTCCATGAGGCAGGACCACTGTTGGTTCAAGGTCAGCCTGGACCAGGTGCTGAGATCCTACCTCAAAACAGTAAATACACAGGAGTTGGGAAGATGGCTCAGAAAATCAAGTGCTTGCTGAGTGGGGAAGAGGCCTTACACATGGCTGCTGAGATCCAGCCTCAGGGACACAGGTGGCCTTCCTATCTCTTAAAATGTGTGTGGTCCTGGGACTGAGAAGAATTAAACATTGGAAAGAACAAGCCCAGTGAGAGAGCCTTGTAACATGGCAGCAACCCCAGTAACAGCCGGGTACCTGCACCTGCCCCTGCCCCAGCAATATTGATAAAGAAGACATATCAGAAAGACACCACTGTGTGTGCACCCATAGTGACTCACCAGTCACCAAGCTGGGCAGAGGGTCTTATGTAGGAAAGTCCATAACCCTTTCATCACAGTGATGCATAGCAGAGGAGTTTCAGGGCTGGGAGTTCACTCTATACCACACAGCAAATCAGTAAACAGCCGTACATCAGTGTCACAGGTGCAATGGCAAATGTTTTATGGGCCAAAGAAAGCAAAAATGGTATCAAAATATTCAAAAGCCAATATCTGGGATATGGAATTCCAGGCAAGTATTCCTATTTTCTATAAATGTCTCTATCTTTTTAAAACTTTAAAACTATAATTATTTTTTGTAATCTTGTATTTTTTAATTATAGCACAATTACATAGTTTTTACCCCTTCCCTTTCCTCCCTCCAATCCCTTCCAGGTACTGCATACCTTGTTCTCATTCAAATACCTGGACTCTTTTGTTGTTTATATATACATAGATATATACACATGCGAGCATGTACACATACACACATACACACATACACACACACACACACACACACAGGTATGTGAATATACATATATTCCTAAGTATATAAAAACAACCTGCTTAGTCTGTAGTCTTAGTCTGTTACTTATATTTATATATTTTCAGAGCTAATCATTTATAGTTAGATAGCCAATTAGTGCGCTCTTTCCTGGAGGCTATTTCTCCTGCTCTCAGCAATCCTCAGTTGCCTGAAATTCTTTGTGTAGGGTTGAGGCCTCCTGAGCTCTGCCTCCACATTAACATGTCTATTGGTGTCACCTTGGTCAGGTCATGTTTAGGCAGCCATTCTGGGTATAGCTTCTCTGACATTTCTAGGAGGCACCATCTCACAGCAAAGTTCCTCGGCTTGTTCTCTCCTCTGCATGGATGACCTCTGCTGGTTCTCTCCTCTTCTGCAATACTTGCTGGTCTCTACTGGTTCTCTCTGAGCCTCTGGTCTTACACTGCAACTACTTCTGTTTATCTTCACAAACTCCAGTGTTGGGTCAATAAACATTTCCTCCTCCCCAAGAAGCTCATTACAGGAACTCAAGTGGTTGTGGCCTTCCGCACCATTCTAAGGTGATGCATCCCACAGGTGCTGTAAGGTACCACACTGCAGCCAATTCTGTACTTCTTCAACTGTCCAGAGTCAGTAGGTAGATCTAACAGTTCCAACAGCATCTGTTCTTCCTATTTTTCAGGTAAGATAACTCTGAAATTAGGTTCCACAACAGGCCCAGGGCAGCTCAACCAGTACAGTGAGAGAGCAGAGCTTAAGTCTAGGCTTGAGGCCACATCTAAAGCCAAACACTTCATCAACTATGCACCCATAGCATCTACAACAGAGACCCTATCGGCAGCTGCTCCTCCTCAGCAGTGGGAGGCAAAGAGATAGAGGGAATCCCCAAGGATGGGAGACTAAGCTTGAGAACTAAATTAGGCCCAGGAACTGAGTGGTCCAAGAAACATCCACAGGGATGGGCATGGTCTCTTACACGCACATTGTCTTTCAGCTCCTCACACTCGGCTGTCATGCACACATTCATCTGACATGCCCACATTCACTGTCACAGACACAGCACTCGCTCTCACATGCTTTGGTTCCTACTTTACAGTGTACACATGCCGACACATACCACATCAACACACTATCTGACACTGAGTCACACATTCTCCCCCCTATTCTCACTCATGGCCATTCAGACACACACCACTCTCTTACACCTCACACTCAAGCATCCAGTCTCTCCCATAGGCTCCCACACTCACACTCACACACTGACCTCCACACTAACACAACCTCTGCCCATACATCCATGGCAGGCAAGGCTCAGGTTTTGTGCTCTCAATACTGTGGGTCCATATGCCTGGGTACTACAAGACTCCCCATTTGAAGGCTGCTATCAGAAAGCAGGGTGCTGTGCATTCCTAGAAATGGGCTTCTTCCAGGATGAGGAACCCTCAGCATCGGCACTTCAAGGGCCTATGGGAGGATGTGTGGTCCAAGGCTTCCCTTCTTGCAGGGAACAGCCCTTGCCTATCAAACTCCTTGTGCTGATACTCCCTCCTAAGGTCCACAATGACCCTATGACAGTGAGTATGCCAAGGTCCTAAGCCTCAAACACAGACACCAGAGCCTCAGAAGAAAGGTGGGGCTAGGGACTACTCCCCCCCAAAAAATTCAGGTACAGTCACTTCAGCATGACACTGTACACTACATTAGGGCCTCTCAGAGCCAATGTTCCCAGGTAGAAAAGACACAGAAGCAACCAGACATATTTTCCCTCACACTCTGGTGATACAGAGTCCTGGAAGGAAGCTGGTTGCTGCAAGGACATTTCTCCAGGCATTTTGTTTACTATCTCTGGTGCCTGCAGGTCACCTCTCTTTGGAAGGACTGAAACAGTGAGCCCTGCATCTCTGCAGCACCATCTCCCTGGGGCTTAGCTTCATTACTGAGGACAGATGTGGAGATAGCCACTACCTAGTGGGGCCCCATCTCAGCTCTGGTGTCCATCTCCACTGATTTCCTGAGGACCTGCTGCCTATGAGCAGGTTAACAATGGGAGGGCAGGAGACGGAAGATGGAGCAACAAAGGAGGGACAGACAACCTGGTCAGCAGCCTATTCTGAAGACTGACTCCTCGGGCCTCCCTTGAAGAGCCCATGGTGGTTTCTCAAACATATGCTCCCAACCCTTCCTCCCTTTCCTGGGAACAGTGCCATACAGTAAGGAAGACACGTGGCTTGTTTGTTTCTTTTTCCACTCTAGATTCAACTTGTGAGCATCTTCTGGGGTTCACTAGGTTACACTCTTTGCACTAACATGAAAGCACCTGTATGCACACTCATTGCTATGCACCACCCTTTGTCTCCCCCCTGCTTGGACTGGCTCTGGGTGTACCTATCTGCCTGCTCCTAGCAAAGCAGTTCTCAATCTGTGAGTCACCTAAGACTATAGGAAAATACAGGAAAAAATATTTATGGTACAATTCATAACAGTAGCAAAATTAGAGTTATGAAGTAGCAACTAAAATAATTTTATGGTTGGGGGTCAGCACTACATGAGGAACTGTATTAAAGGGACACAGCATTAGGAAAGTTGAGAACCACTGTTCTAGCAGGACACTAGGAGCACCAGAGCCTCCTGTTTCCCTCTACAGCTGGTGTTCCACATCTGCAGAAGCAGAAATAGCAGATTTCATTGGTTTATGTTATATGGACTGCAACTGACTTCAGATCTCCAGTGCAAAGCTGTCTTGATGGGCTTGGGCAACTGAATAGCAAAATACTTAACAAGTCAATGAGGAAATAGTAAATCTACTCTCTGAACAGACCTATAAAATTCATGCTACACAAGTGGCCAGGACAATATTTACAGTTCATTTTTCTGTAAGAAGCAAACGCAGGAAAAAAAGGAAAGGAACAGATGGGATCAGGGAATGCTGGTGGACACTAATGTGTGGCTGTCACTCCTGGTGCTGGTCTGCTACGAGAACGAAGAGGAGTTGTGCTGGCTTGAGGGAGCCTTCTCAGGGTTGGAGGCAGTCCCACACTCTCACCAACCCTTCTGAGAAAAGCCAAGGGAAAGAGACAAAATCAGGCATCGGAGAACATTTGCAGGTAAAGGGCCTCTCCCAAAGCTGTGTCAGAGCCACCTGCACCTTCTGGGGCCCACTTGGCTCCCATCCCAGCTGTGCCTACTGAGGTTCAGTTGTTGAAGGGAGCTGCACCTGCTTCTAGCATGTTCCCTGCCAGTAAAAAGGAAACTTGAACTGGACCCTGGTGCTTACAAAAGCTTAGAGAGCTTTGGACACAGAGGCCACTTCAGGCTTAAGTGAGCACAGATCATATTGCAGGCAACTCTGCCTATGAGCCTTGTCC